ACTTTGATGATTTGAGAATTTTTTGTAAAATATGATTTTCTGTTAAATCCATGCACACATGGAATTTTCTGGTTATTTCTGAAATTTAAGATTGATTCTGAATTACAGATTTTTCTATAAATCCTGCATGGTGTTGTCTTTGATATGGTCATGTTATCCGTGTGCCCGCTAGTGGGAGTAAACGCTAGCACATGTTGACATATTTACTGATATGACCGGTTTATTCTGTAATCCTGCCAATGGGATAATACATTGGTAATTTCTGACGCCTGTCACTAGGCGAATACATTGGTAATTTCTAATGCCTGCCACTGGGCGAATAAATTGGTAAATTTTTGACGCTTGCCAATGGGCAAACACATTGGTAATTTCTGACGCCTGCCAATGAGCAAACACATTGGTAATTTTTGACGCCTGCCAGTGGGTGTTAAACGCTGGCCATGACTTATAGATGAGATTGCTACTGAATTTTCTTCTGTATTAACGGTTTGTCATTGAACGCTTTGCTATTGAATTGAATCTTATTTTGTATTAACGGTTTATCATTGAACGTTTTGTTATGTTAAACTGTTTATTAGACATGCTAAAATTTTACTTATGGGCTATCCATATATTTACTTACTGAGATATTTTATCTCACCCAGTTTTCCTTGTCCACCATTTTAGGAAGTGAAGTCAAGGACGGGAAAAAATGAGGGGAGTGACAAGTTATAAGGCTAGCCATCTTCTAAATTGAACATAAATTTTAGATATAAATCGTGATCTTATAAACTAGACTTTATTTGGAGATTGTATGATATCAGAGTAAATTTTATAATTTTATCTTCAGATTTTTTGTGGTATTAGATTGTAGTATGATAAGTTTCGGGCCTTGTGCATTTGTGGGATCCATTTGTGGGATCCGTTCACGAGTGCACGACGTTTGTTACGCCTCGGATTTGGGTTCTGGGGCATGACAATAATGCTTCTACTTATTTGGTTTATGTAGAAATATAAAACTTGATAGTTTAGAAAACAAATTTTGCTAGATCTTGGGAAAGATTAATAATTTATATATAAATTTTTCTACTATCACTTGGAAATTGATAGATTGAGAGAGAATTCAATAAGAAAAGTTTCAAAAGGATTAGGTTGGTGAATTTTTGTCCCTGATTGTTTAGTAATTGGAATTTAATTTTGCAAATTAGTTTAGTTAGAATTTATTAAATCTTCATTTCTTCTTTTCAAATTTTGAACTTGTTAGATAAAATTAGAATTAGGAAAATGAGATGTAGACCCTTGGTTCAATACATTTTTTGACACTATTTCAGTTCAACTATTAAAAATATAATATAAATATAATTGATTCAACTGGTTCTTACATTGTGTGCATGATTATATCTTTAAACTTGTTTGCTTTTAATTTTATATTAAGAAATAATAATTTTTTAATAAGTGTATTGTGTAGTGTGTTGAATTGAGTATATACCAATCACTATCATTAGAATTAACATAACATTGGTACTTAGCAAAAGTTCTTTTTTTCTAGTCTTTAATTTCTGTAGGATGATATTCAAGTCATCATTATATTACTTGTTTGACAATAATGTACATTTACATTTAGTGTGAGGTTATATTACAAACAAGTTTTTGGCACTGTTGTTGGGGATTAAAATAATTAAACTTGCTAATATCAATAATAAGTGATTCTAATCTTAATCTAACTTTTTGTTTTGTTAGTTTTTATTTATTTATTTATTTTTCATTTTCAAGGCATTTTAGAAGTGTGCAAAACACTCAAGAAATGCTAAGTTGTTACTTCTTGACCCTAAAATTGAACACACTTTGAGTAGAAGAACAATGATACATGCACCTTGTAAAGTTACATACTAATGGATGGTGTGTAACGGAAACTGTTAGTTTTAATGGCACAAGTAACGAAAATTATTAATTTTAACAGCATAAGTAACAGAAATTATCAGTGTGTAACGAAGTGTGTAAATTTTTAGGGTGTCTGTACCATTTCCCTTAAGTAGAATTCCAACATAAATGAAGAACACAGCTCTAAAGGTAGTTATGGCAAACAATCAAGATTATAGGCCTGGTAAACAGGCGGGTTAGGTTGCGTTGGCTTTGGATTGGGTCAACTTGGGTGACGAGTTATACAGGTTGGGACATAAATAGGTCATGGGTTAGAAAAGGCCAACCCTATCTTGATCCTAGCAGGTTACAGGTCAACTTGTGGGTTTACCTTATTTTCATTCTTAACGATTATTTTTTTAAAATTTTATTATATACAAATAAAATTATAGGTATATAAATTTAATTAAAACTTAAAATTCTAAAGTACCATAACTCATTAACACTAAACACTTTATAGTTTTAATCACAGATATTTAAATTAAGAAAAAATCATAAAGTTATATATAACAGAAAGTTGATTAATAATATTAAATTTAAAGTAATTAAATTTCTTGGAAAATAAAGTTTGAATTTTGTAATCATTTTCTTGAAACATAATTTATCATGGAGTTTAAGCTTTTTTTTTTTTTACGATGAAATTGCTCTTCCAAAAACATCTTTCACTAAATCATTATGTTTATGTTTTAGCATCACATCTTCAATATCTTTAGTTACATTATCATTTAATTCATAATACTTGGTAATTAAATCAAATCTACATAATTTCTAGAGAGGGAATAAAAAATAATGATGAGCAAACACTCAAAATCAGTTCAAAACCATGTCAGTAATGGAGATGAAGTTGAAGAGTATGAATTAATGGAGAGAGTTACTAATAGAAAATTAATTAAGAATAATAAGTATAATATTTAAAAAAAATAAAAAAATAAAACAAATGACCTATCAACCTACGGTTGATCCGAACTAGACTCATGACTTGTATGGGTTGATATTACTACTTATTTACGAGTCATGGGTTGGAATATGTATACCCTAACTCATTTTTATGGGTTGGGTTAATGAGTTGGGTGGCTTTTTTACCACCCCTAATCAAGAACAATGATCCTTAAGAGACTTTGTAGTGCCTTTGGTGAATGACACAATTTCTAGAATTAGATGCCCTGTAGTTCAAACCAATAATGTTGAGATTAAAGTTGCTATTGATGACCACTTAAAATTTCAAATATTGAAATAACGAAAAATTAAGTGTGAAAAATGTGAAAATACGAAATCGTCACTTGTCCAAATTATAAGATAGGACTAGGGGTGACAAAAAGCCACCCAACCTATTAACCCGACCCTAACCCACCTCACAAAAAGAGTTAGGGTCTACATATCCCAACTTGTGACACATATATCAACCCATATGGTTCACAGGTTGTGTTCGAGTCAACTTGTGAGTTGACGAGTTGATTTATTTATTTATTTATTTTTGAAAATATTGTATTTATTAATCTTAATTAATTTTCCTATTAGTGACTCTCTCCATTGATTCATACTCCTCAACCTCCTCTCCATTACTCACATGGTTTAAACTTATTTTGAGTGTTAGCTCATCATTATTTTTTGTTCCTTCTCTAGAAATTATGTAAGTTTGATTTAATTACCATGTATCATGAATTAAATGATGATGTAACTAAAGATATTGAAGATATGATGTTATGCTAGAATATAAACATAATGATTCAATGAAAGATGTTCTTAGAAGAGCAATTTCATCGTAAAAAGATGCTTAAACTCCTTGATAAATTATGTTTCAAGATAATGATTGCAAAATTCAAACTTTATTTTCCAAGAAATTTAAATATTTTTAGTTTAATATTATTAATCAATTTACTGTTATATATAACTTTATGATTTTTTCTTAATTTAAATGTTTGTGGTGGAGACTATAAAGTGTTTAGTGTTAATAAGTTATGATGCTTTAGAATTTTAAATTTTAATTAGATTTAGATACCTATAATTTTATTTGTATATAATAAAATTTAAAAAATAATTGTAAAGAATAAAAATAAGGTAAACTAATAGGTTGACTCGCAATCCATTAGGGTCGAGATAAGGTTGGCCTTTTTCAACCCATGACCCATTTACGTCCTAACGCATTTAACTTGTCACCCAAGTTGACTTAAGCCCCAACTCGCCTGTTTGCCAAGTGTAGATGGGACAAGTCACCTAAAATATAATCTACACAAAGATCGGGGTCTAAGAGTATAGTTAGGAGTGAGAAAAAGCATACGTACACCTCATAATCTTTTGTATAAAACACGATTGTATACTTTAAAATAGGGATTTTAATTCAACTTATTTATCCTTTAGGTTTTAATTCAGGCTAAAAAGTAAATGGGTGAAATTGTAATATTTAAAAACCTTGAGGACTGAATTGGACAAAACATGCATGCACAATTGCAACAAATTAAAAGTTAAAGGACTGATTTGAAATTATTTAAAACTTATGGACCAAACTGCTTAATTGCAGAAAATTTTGAGTGAAATTAGAATTTAATAAAAGATAATTTTGATTGTTTAACTTCGATTTAAGAAAAAAAAAACAACTCAAAATTAGTTAGTCATGATTGTTAATTTAATTAAGTAGTTAATTTAACATTAATTAAAAATAATTAAAATTAATTAATTACACTCACTAGTCTTTAATTAAAATAATCAAGCAAAACCAATATAATTTACCTTAATTAAGTCGATAAAAACAATTAATTTATTTTAATTAAAATCAATTAGTTTTTAACATACACAACTAATTTCATAATCATTTTATTATGGGTGGTGATATAGAGAATCTTTTCAATTTATCTTTTTATATAATTTTTATATATTATTACAAATGTAAATATATTGCGTCTTAAAGAAATAAAAAAATTAATTATTTCTCAAATAAATAAGAAAACCTAAT